ATTAATCATATATCTCTGCTTTTTCTGTGGTATTTCTGTTTCAGCTTGTTTACTGAGTTAGTGAAAGAATCAGCAACAGGCAAATGTAAATTTAGCTCTTTCTAATTTTCAGCAATTTGACTCAACAATTGAATTAACATTCTTGTGACATTGTTTAAGACAATGTACTCAAATGCTACTTTAGCATAGTGGAAAATCTTCTGCAAGTATATAAGGAAAAACAAATTCAAAATTGTTTATAGTTTCTATTTTATCAAAATTTCAATGCAATATAGGATATTATATGGTCTTATCAAGAAACATGGCATATTCTGTAAACAAAATATTTGCACATGCCATATATAAGATACCATATGAAGACGCAATGCTAAAGCCCAAAGATGGAAAAAAAATCCCAATCATTTTTACAGAATGCATTTCTGGTTTTAATCAAATTTGCACTTGGACACCATTTTCCAAGGACATGTTCTTCAAACAGCACACATACACACATCCATGCAAGTACTCATGCTCACCCAAGAACTTTGCTTGTGTCTCAAAAATAATCATTAAAAAAGTATTTTAAGCTTCATGTTCTTTTTTTCACATACATTCTGTTTCACATGCTTTGCAGATGTGTTTTTAGGTATTTAGCAGATGTTAAATGGATGGTGCTTCGAATCTGATAAGAATACTAGTGATTTTATGGGTTTATATCACATCAAATAGCTGCACTAAAAAAAATGTGGTCGTGTAGTACTATCAATACTAAAGATATTGGGCTGTAGCATAGCTCAGAGTTTACAGAAAGCAACAAGACTGAACTCAGCCTCAAAAGGGGAAGCATTCTTAGTGCATCTGAATAAAGCTGTGAAGTGTGAGCTTGGAATTTATCTCTAACATCATGCTGTTGCTGCTTACACCAGAATAAATGTGTTAAGCTTAATGTTTTCATAGCAGGACAATAAGACTACTTAAATAGCTCTTATTGGAGCTGAACTTAAAAAGTAAAAATGTTCACTACAAAAGAAGTGAACCTGAGTAGAAAATTAGCTCATAGGTAGAGACAAAGAGAACAAAGGTCAGCATTTGCCAATTGCTGCTCTGAGGTTTCAACAGCTAAAGGGAATTCAGCCTTTTTCTAATTCAAACAAAATCTGCAGAAGCCTCAAATGCCATTGCAAGATAACTGCTATCAAACATTACAGATTAAATCTCAGCCACTGTTGCACTTACTACTTGCATTTCGATATGAGCTTTTCTTCACATTTTTTCTTTTCTGACTTATTCCGAAAAAGTATAAGCTAACACATACATTATTAAATACAACACATTAGAACATGCTATATCTACTTTATAGGAAGAAGCTTAGGAGCAGACACTAAATATGTAGTAGTAGTAGTAGTAGTAGTGGTAGCACCATGTCATGAGTAATTTTTTAGTCACTAAACCAGGTCACTGAAAAGAAGAATGCTTCCCAGGTGATGTAAGTTAGAATAGAACATGAAAGTTGTTTAATGATCAGTAAGGGAGCCCAATGCATTTTAACAACTATTTAAAGAATTGCTATTCCAAACAAATTCTTTAAGGTCGGAACTGATTATCCTGATTGTCACATGTTTTTATGTGCTGATATTTGATTACTATTCACCCTTCAATACTTTTATCTTCCAGAATCAAAGAAGACATCTCATCCAGAATGAGCAGGAACTAAAGAGTAAAATATTGCTGGCAGCTTTAGTTTAAAATTACCCTAATTTTTTGTTATATAGATAAATAGATACTAACTCAGATGTGGCAAAACAAATGCTGAGGTCACTTGACTGTGATTTTAACTATAAGCATGGTTCTGGTTTTAAGGATAAGCATATAAAATGTTGAAGTCCCAGATGTTCTGCAAGTCTATTCTGAACTACATGATTTCATCATGACAAAACAATAATAGAGAAGAATAAAATTTTGTTACAAAGTTCAGCTTATGAAGTTGTGTATCTAATTTCATGTTGTCTCTACTATTGTTGCAATACAACATAGAAATAACCCTCACCTTAAAAAATACTGAAATCACATAAATCTTGCTGATGTAAAGCTCACTGTGATATCACAGCAGTCCTTAGGGATACACAGCACAATATGTAACAACACACCTTCAATACACAGTAGTACAGAGATAAACAACACTGACAAGTAAATATACTGACATGACTAGTATATTGACTAGGACCCATTGCAATTTATGCTCAAGCAGAAGACTGTGTCTTGCAAACTGTTGGGAACCACCAACAAGTGCAATGCTTACACAATGATCAGTGTGTGACGGCAGTACGATGACTGGTGTTAATTGCCTGCCTTTGATTACAGGATGTCTTGATAGATTACATTAAGGTAATTCCTCCTAATGACTCACTATTTCTGTTACATTCTTTACAGTAAATCTGGTTCATTAAAATTATAGATGTATATTTGGCATTTTTCCTTCCCTTTTCCTGCTTGGTCTACTGGACTTCCTCTTACTAGACTGCAAAATACAGTGGATACAGAGACTATTAGTTTCAGTAATTTCAGAGAAACAGACAAGTTTCACCTAGAACCAGAAAATAAATTATAGAAATACTCTAGATGGACAAATAAAGATTATAAATGGATTGTTTTGATTTTGCATTTAAAAGCATAAATTCATAGAGGTTTAGTGAAAATTTTCAGCTTTAGCATAATTTTTTGTTAATTTGGAAGTCATTCTTCATGATCATCTTGCCCAAAATGTTCTCCCAAATACCTCACTTAGTCTCCGTTTAAAACCTTACATGGCATGGATATGTTTGAAAATTCGCTGCTTGGTGAGAAAGGTATGATGTTTGACTGAAGTAAATTTTCTAAATATATCAAGTTATGACTGCTGGACATTAGAAAGCCAAATACGTTTTTTCCAAATTCACACCATCTGTGAAATGGTAAAGGAATAAAGCATTGAGTTGTTTCATTCAAACCATGCTAAAAAATTACATTTCTGCTTGCTTATTCCAAGAAAAGGGACATAGGTGCTAGATTTATACTCACGTTATGAGGGTTATCATATCACCCTCTGTATTTCCACATTTCATTACAATTCTCAACATGAAAGAAATGTAATATGTGAGTGCTGCTTCTGATACACAAACTTCTTGGTGCTACCCAGCAATGCTTGCTTCAGTTCAGTAATATTAATCACGCTTTAAAAAGCAATCCCTCTTTGAGAAGCCGATCTAGACACCTCTTATATTTTGGTGACACACCAAGACTTGGTGTGCATTTTAGTTTTGGCTTAGTAATTTCAAAAACTTTATCATATGAAATACCTTATCCACTTACACATTGAATGATCTTCAAAGCTAAGGACACACCTCAAGGAGGCTTTATAATCAGGAAGTCATTGTAAGCACCCTTTCTGAACAGGGAGGGCAAGGAGTTTAGTGTGTTACCAACACAAGGTTTTCGCCAGTATTACAGGATCCTTCATCATAATTCTTCTCTTATAAAGACTTGGGTTCTTGGATTTACTCTTTTTCAGTGCTCTTTCATCATTCCTGCCCTCTTTCTTCATCCTGTTGTCTGCCCTTACTCATCCGCTTATGTCTGTCTCCATACCTTTAATTACATGTGATATTCCCTTAAAAAATTACTTTCTTGACTCATCGTAATTTTTTTTCCTCATTCTCTCCCTTCCCATAAATGTGACAAGAAATCCTTGAGGAAGAACTGAAATTAATGGTATACCCTGATCCAATATGTGCGGAGAGCAGAAAAAGAATATTATGGAATTTTAAAAAATATTCAGAAAGCAGAGAGCCTGAGTTAAGGCTCTGGTGTGACAAAAGGGAAGGATAAAAAGTCTTTCTAGCATCACAACACAATCTCTACTAGGTTCTTTAAATTCAGGATGAAAATCTGGAAAGGTATCCACTCTATCCTGCAGGACACTGGCCCTTTGGAAAAAGCAAAAGAAAAGAAAAAAACTTCTTCTTTTATCTGTATAAGCAAACATCTACATCATGATAAAAAAAATTATTCAACAATGCATACACTGATATAGACTCCAAGCACCAATTTAAATTTCACCACATGTAAACATATGTTTTTTAATCAGAGGTTATTCCTTGAAATTATATATTCATCATCATTTATGCGGCAGACTCAAAACTGCACTGGTGAGGTTGCTGTCCGACGACACTAAATAAGCACTTAGTAAGGTGAAGCTCATTGTCATCCAAAATACAGACCATATGTAAAGGCAATTCGAGAATATAAATTACAGAGATTATAGATGGTGCACTAGAGACCAAGCACAAACTGATTACAGCCAGATTATTAACCCATGTGACTACCTAGTTTTTAGACGGACTGGCAGTGACCCTAAGAAACTTTTCTTGCTAGAAAAACATGACTTCAGGGGTGGAATGCTCACTGCTAGAATCTGTGAAAAGAATACTTATTATCTGATTTATTCCTAATGTACTAATGGAAACAGGTATGTGGGTTTGGTTTTTTAGTAGTAGAACAAATAACTGCCTTAAAAATGCCCAACTCTTTTCAGTTTCTTGTGGTAACATTATGCAAGGTCTTGAAAATTCCTCAAGTCAAAAAGGTGTCACATGATGCAAGAATCTCTCAGGATAAATTGTGACATTTATTCTGCAGCACTTTTCCTGCATATATCCTTCATGCAAATACCTAGGTACTGACAGTGCCTCAGTTTTGCATTATGAAGGTTTACCATGTCACTTGTTGCAGTCTACAATAAAAGTTTTTATATATAGAAAACAACATTTTGACTAATCCTATCAGTTGGTATGTATCAAATTAAAGAACAGCTTTCCTTTCTGTTTAGGTGGAAAGACAGAACAGAGTAGTCATTTCATTCTCACAGACTAGTTTAAAAAGTACACCACTAAATGGGAGAAGCAAAGGCAGAATTACAACTTCACTCTATTTTCCTAAGTAATAGAGAGCCTTTAGTTGTTAAGAAAGACAGAACTCAGACTCACTGTGCATTTGTTCGGCTTCTCTCCTGAGTGGACTCTCATGTGAATCAGCAGTTTGTAACGGGCATTAAATGGCTTGAACCTTCGAGGGCACCCTGCCCAGAAGCAGGTGAAGTCCTCTCCCTTCCTCTGGTCTATGTGGATCTTCTCTATGTGCCGCACAAGCTCCTCTTGATGGTCATACAGCTTCCCGCAGTCAACCCAGCAACAGCCATGCTTGCCATTGGAATCGTCCAGCTCGCCATCTTCCTCCAGCAGGGCGCCCGGGGCAGGAGGCAGCACCTGCAGCGGAGGGACATGGCTAGGCAGGCCGTGTGGATGGCGGTGCTGGTGTGCATGGTACGGCGGGGGCGGCCCTTGTGGAGGAGGTGGTGGCAGCACCAGGGATGAAAGAGGCATGTCACCAATAGGGCCTGAGAAGTCATCCAGCTGTTCATTTTTCAAGATCTCCATTGCTTGGCTGTCCATGGGCAGTACACCCTGCTGGATCACCATGTTATTTGTGGCACCCATCTGTAAGCTGGCTTGCTCCAGCTGCTGCATCCGCTGATATTCACCTGTCCCGTTCTCAACATACCCTGGAAAAGTGACACTGCCATTCGCCATGTGGAAGCCTTTCTGGGCAGCTGAAACAGAGCAGTTTTGGGGTATACAGCTTCCCCTCACTCCCAAAAAATGTCCATAGACCTCAGGCTGTGTGGAGACGTTTGCTGGCGATGCCCTGGCGCTGTTGATGTAGGCCACCAGAGAAGTTGGGGATGTACGAATGATTGTATTGAACTCGATCCCAATGCCGTCAGACAGAGGAGATACAGAGAGTGCTCTCTTTTTGGAGTGGGCAGATTGAGACCAGACTGAGGACTGGCAAGCACTAGAGTAAGGGAAACTCTTATTTTCCATGCCATATAAGTAGGACAGTAATGAGTTACTGGATGTAGATGCTTCAGGCAAAAAATTTATTAAGTTCCCCAGCTCACTGCCATTTTGTAAACCATGGTCAGGAGGAGCAGAAGAAAGTGTCCTGTACCTGTGTGACCACTCTTGTTCAGCACTCCCAGGGGAGTGACCTTCTGACAAGCTTAACGTTGTAGAGGCCAGAGTCTCACATGACAAGAGTGACCTGAAATAAAAGTATAATAAAGTAAGCAGTTAGACAATTCAAAAGTAGATAGTTTACCTTCACACACGTGCTTAAATAAGGAAAGGCTACATGTGAGAAGAGCTCTCCCTAAGCTCTTGTGCTCAAGTTCAGCACACTCAGTTAATGTACCAGTAGTTATACAGAGGTAAGATACGTGTAAAAAGGTCACTTAGGAAGCCAACTTTAAAACTTCAAGATTTTGAAAGAAAGTTACTGTAAAGATTCTTGATCCTCCATTGCAGAAATTATTGCATGTCTTTTCATCAGCTGTGGTGTAAATAGGTTTGGATATCTGAAGCCAAAGCATTATGTTCCTGCCTTCTATGAAACCCATAATGATTTAAGTCATCTATTATTTTCTTGAAAAAAACAGAAAGAAAACTAATCCAATGGGAATGGATATTCAATCTGAACGACAATTGTCAATTGTAATACATACAAATACTACAAATACCTCCCTACAGCAGTTTTATATATCAAGTTTATAAATACAGGTAATATCTAACTTTACAAAACAAACAAAATAAATTAGTAATGTAGGAGAACTGGTTGAAGAGGTTTCTTAGATTTGATTTGAAGATGTATCTTCCTCCAAGTCAGCAATCAAATTTTTTCAAGAAAGTGTAATCTTGCTGTTATTGAGCATTTTTCAAAGAGATATTATGAAACTTTATGCTGCAAATATTCTTTGGATAGCTTCAAAACCCTCAACATACAGGCCCTTAAAAGTATTGTTTTCTACAGAAAAAGATAAAAAAGAAATGAAAGGGGCATCAAGTGCCCTGAGTCATGGCTATAAATGCTGGCTGAAGCTTAACCAGATTTATTTTGTTTCCAGTTCACACCCAGGCACATTTGGATTTCCTACCAGTTAGTGGTGCTATCAGTATATAAATTTCTATTTTTAAGGAGATCTTACAATAGGAAGAACTGGTTATGTATCCAAACAAATCTGACAATCTCATAGAAGCCTCTGCATCTTATGTTTTGAGAATTACTTCTTGGTTTTATTATTTTAACAACACCGTTTTGAAGGAGCACGGAATTTCAATGACAGATCGAGGACACTGGAGGGGAAGCTTGGCACGGCCTGAGAGAAAGAGGAAGTAGTTTGCAGGTGCTGTATCTGTAAGATAGCTCACAAACAGGGAAAATGTAGCTTAAAAGAACAGCAAGCCCTGCTGTGGTGACCAGAGGGAGAGATGGTTAAATGCCCCTTTGCGCAAGATACTGGGTTTGTAACGCAGGGTTGATCTGCTGCATCAGAATAGAAACATCCTGTTCTGATTCAATGTCAGGGCAGGGTACTGTCATGGACCTTACGTGACTCCATCAGGGTGTAAATGGCACTTGCAAAACAGACTACAGACAAAAAGCAGAATTAGCATGCTGACTACAATTTGTATTGGGAGAAATGAGAAAAATGAGACTCCTCTATCAGGTCAGTCTTGTGTGCCATTTAGATCTAAAGGGATGACTGTTTGTGAAAAAGTTGATTTAGGCTGTTGTCAATGAGCTAAAGCACAGTTCATTATAGGGCAATTAAATTATGCTACTATGTTGTGACCCCAAATACAGATCCACAGGTTTGAACTCCATGCTATGATTAACACCCAGAAAATTTTAAGAGGGGGTAGGGGTGTTCTGCCAGGTTTTAAAAAAAATTTTATTTTCTCTTTTATGAATAAAGCAAAAGAAATCGTGCATCAATAAAAAGTCTATTTTTGTACTGACAAGAATTTTAAGCAGATGCATAGTACAACCAGTGTCATATAAAAAGCTACTAATGCCTAACATGAAGGGGCATATCCACCAGTGAATCTGAAGAAAAACTGCTTTTTAAAAGTCACATAATAGCACAAAAATAAATAGCTGGCCCAGAATTTCAAGTATACAATAAGTAAGAGCCAGCTATTCTGAAGAAGCTGCAGCACTTCAGCATCTAAATTCAAAAAATAATAAAAATTCCAACCCCAAAAATTAAGATTGATTTAAAATTCAGCCCACACTGTGACTAAGTAGTTTTCTAATAGGAGGAAAATAAATACGCTTAATATGAAAATGAGGTACCAGATCTATCAGGGGGAAAGAATCTCAGATGGCATTAGTTGGTGCATCTGTTTATTGTAAACTAAACCAGTTTGAGTTTGGACCAGATCTTTCATTAACATTTACAAGAGATTACTTGCAATTACATTGTATTCTCCCTTTGTGTAAAGAGGCTACAATGTCAGAGTATAAACCAGAATCCTGAACATAAACATGGAAGAGTGAAAACTATGTTTTTCTCTCTTTTTATGGTCTTCTATTTACTAGCCAAGAACCCTTTGCTCTTTCCTAGATCTTTTTCTGACTTGCATCAAAGCAAATGACAGTATTACATCTGGTTTGATGCAACACAACTGAATATTCCAAAACAGTTCTGCAGAAACTCAAAAAAGATGGGGAAGGTTTTATCCTCCATGGTCTATACACCAGAATCTGATGCTATGTCTAGCAAAACTCTCATTTTGCCAACTGGTTTCTTTCTTCCATCAGTAAAAATCAAGAAAATTCACTTCAGCTTTGGCAAATTCAACAAATAATATGATTTGGGCTGAGCTGCCAGAACACAGTTCATAGTGCCTGAGAGATAAAATCCAGAGAAGGCACTCTGACCAGGAAGAACCAGTCAACTTCATTTAGGCAAAAGCAGTTTATAGTTCAAGAAATTTAATCAAAAAAAAACCAAAAAAGCTCAAAACCGAACAACAAATAACAAACCTCCCCAAAAACACAAAGAAAAAAATCCCACACTGTTTTGACAATCTGTGAGTTAGAATCTGACTTTAAACTTGTTTTGCCTTATCAAACAAATTGAGGTAAAAATTGCTGAAATTGACATTCTTTGTGTGATAAACTTATTTTATAACACCTTCATTGACAAATCATTAAAAGGTACTCTAGGGACACCACAGCCTTGATTCTGCCAGAGTTTCAACTTGAGTTTGCCCTTAGTAAATGTTTCTTTGAAATAAAATCAAAACTGCATAGCTCAGTACTGACATGATACATCCAACCACTCATTCAGTGTTTGGAACCATACAGGCACACCTAAAACTTAAGTAAGTAACAACTGTGTAATTGTATTTTTCTAGCATCAGTTTTATTTGATCTGAAAGGCATGTATTTGGATTTGTCATTTGTCATCATCTCAGCACTGAATGTTTTTTGCTGACATGTCTACACAGACAGCATAATTAATTTTGTAAATTTTCCCAGGGGGCTCAGTCTTCACAACTAAAGTGACAGAAATGTTAAAAATTATCTTAACAGTAAAGCAAGGTTTTATTCCATTTGCAAAGTACCAATCTTAATTATTCCAGGAATGTTCCTTGGCTTGTGATAAAGTAACACAGTAAATGTAAACTGCTTTGAGAATAAAGACCCTTATGGTCTCATGTAAACAAAAACTACATTTCAACTCAGTAGACAATGGGGAATGTGATTCCAAAGTAATACATTAGAATATTTTTTCACTGTGTGTTTAACATCCAGGGATGTGCCTAATGTACTTATAGGGTGGTTCTCAAATACCTGTTTTCCTCTAATTCATGTCTGCTGACAAAACTCAAAGTCATAATCTCTTATTTAAGTGTTTAAAATTAATTAATAAATGTTTATCTGTGGGGTAGTGATACAAAAAGGCAACATTTACAGTGGTCATGGTTTTCTTTACCTATACAACAGAACTAGGAAAACTAACAAGTTTTCAAGGACAATTGATCTGATTAATTATCAGATGGTAAAAAAAAACCATTTGAAAGCAAATGCATTTGATGAGGAGAGAGGAACATGTGCAGACCATTTATGGTTTTTTTGTCTGTCCTTGATGTTATTTGAAAGATACCAACATGGTTCATTTAGCACTATGCAGATGTAAAATGTGGACTATTTCTGATTTCATCCTCCATAACACTTTCTATACCTAGTACAAAAATCTAGTTTGTGACTATAAAACAGCCTTTATGTAATAAAAAGTCCGACCATACACAGATTTTGTGCGGCCAAATTTCACCCATTATTTGAATGATCCAAACATGAAGTACGATTATAGTTGATCTGAATTAAATTGCATGGAATTCAATTTCCCGTGGCATAACAGAGAATGATTGTCTGATTTTAATAGCCAGAAATGTCACATTTTAATTACAGAAGAATTAAAACCCCTTCCTTTTAAAATACTGAATATAAAAAGGTAATTGAGGACCTTATATCTGATGGAGAAGCACCCAGGCTGGAAGCATCCATAGACCTTTGTAAGCAAGGGCTGATCTGGCTGCATGCTGTTGAAAGGTCATTCACTGAAGGTGAAAGAGGTCCCAGCTGTTGAACTGTCATGGGATTGCTGGTGACTATTGCATTGTTGCCACTGCCTTTTCCAATGGATTTGCCCTTGTGTCCATAACCAAGACCTCCTAAAATAAACAAAGCAGGTTAGTATTTATCTTTCATGAACACATGACGGGGCACAGAACTCACATTGTAACATCCCATGAACTCTGTCATCTAACTCCCGCATTTTTATCACATCACATTGCAAACTTCAGAAAGTAATGGGAATCTTCTGATGAGGACAAAACAGGGGACCGACACAAGAATTTTGCAAACTTCTCAAAACATAAATAGCAATATTATACAGGGGAATCAATAGATTATGCATGTGCAAAACATGGGCTGAAGTACATAAACTAAAGACCAGGCATGATGGAAAAACATCAGAAAAAGCACCAGGTAAAAAGCCTTCAGCTGAAGGACAGCTCTCTATGAAGAAGACAGGAAGAGAGAACCCAAGGAGGCTGCCAGAACAGCACCATGCCCCAGTCCTACCAAACCCTGCAGCTCCAATCCGTTGCAAGCCCTTCCGTCATTCCTACCACTACCCATGCATAAAGCAAGGAGACCACCAATACGCATGCAGACTGCAGCGCTGGCTGAGTAGTTTCACTAGCAGGAGAGAGTTACAGCTGGAACCCAGCACCCCTCAGAGGAGTCTAAGTAGAGGAATCTGAGCTGAATGAAACTGAGAAGCATTCTGGACTTTCTTTAAAGGCCACAGTCTGCTCTTAATCACTGCTGCTGTGACTCAAACTGATAGCTCCTAGACAGCAGCACAAAAGGTAGCTGGCCACTGGGACATACCTTCAAAATGCCCAGTGTACCTTTTGTTGTGATTTAGATCACAGGTGGTAGTTTACATGATTGCCTCCATTAAAACACATTAAGATTAGAAAGTTAAAGTGCAGGTCACAATAAGGAAGTTGTTGGACATCTAGCAAAGTCTCATCACAGCTGAAAATTAATAATGAGACAATTCACATTTCTAGCTGCTTCCCTGTTCAGAATACTCCACAAAGCAGGACAGAAACATCAGGACAAACAGTGAAAAGTATTTCTATGCAAAACATTTTCCTAAATTAAATCTACTTTTGATATGGGCATACAACTCATACATCCTTTTCTCCAGGTTCTTCAAATGGGTTGCAGACTGCAGAGAGAAGTACATTAAGGCATTAATGGCCTTCCCAGTCAAAGGAAGAAAATCCAAATCCTCCAGTTCTCTCCAGATCAAATATTTCCAAGGACAAACATATAAAGAGAATTCCTGATTCTGCACTCAACTCCACTGCGGACACTACAACAAGGCATTTAAGTTCTTGTAGGATTACTGTCTGTTCCCACTACAGATGTTCAATTAAATCAAAAGAAAGAGAGAAGGTATTTTGATTTCTTTCCTGTGAAGCAGGAAAGTACATATTTTGAACTCAGTAAAGCCGAATCAATGTGCTTCTCAGCAGTTGATTTTATAATGTTATGGAGAATTAAACTGGAACCAGTAGCAAACATTAGGCAAAAAATGTAAGTTGCCTCTGATAATAACATGAACACTACTTCTCTTAGCAAAAAGCTGGATGGGGTGAAATAAATTTACAAGCCCCATTCACATTATGAAAAATACATAATACTCCATAATATGCCTATATGTATGTGTGTACATAAATGTTCAGTTAGCTATGTTTTAGAAAAGTGCCTTTAGTATGTAGAACCAAAGATATTCTGCACCAAATTACATAAAAGAGAAGTGTACTACAACAATGTAGGAAACCCGACTGGGTTTGACACTGAAATACAGTTGTAATGCATGCATGCATGCATACATACATACATAATACATGTATGTATGTATGTATGTATATATGTGTATGTATGTGTGCGTGTAGTGTGTGTATATATATATATATATATATATATATATATATATATATGGAATACTTAATAATACATCAACCTACTATTTAGCACTGAGAAAATGTGCCCAATATATACTGATCCTTTCCTGGATTATACCATTATCCACCTTTCACTTAAAGGTCACTTTCAAACAAATTTCAGTAGTAACAATAATATCTAGTTTATCATATCAGGAAATTAAGGACTGTGCATTTGTCAGATTTCCATTAGGGAAAGGCCATGTGTCATCTCAAATAACAATCTGCAACGATACAGTGAAATTACTATTTACTCATTATTAAATCTGAGCTGCTTGAAGCTTTCATGTTGGAAAAAAACAAATCCCAGCAGAAAAACCAGAAAAGGAAGTAGCGCAAAACCAGTGCTGTTAAATACAGAAAGTTGCATCCTCAATGCATTCTGGTTTCCCTTTCAGTTACAGGGTCTGCTATTATTATCTGTGTATAAACAGTACCTCAGGGATGCCAACAGCAGGTAAGAAAACTTGCTGTGTTATGGTAAGGATGATGAGAAAAATTGGCCTCATTGCTAGCCATTGAAAGGCAAACATGAGAAATTAAGTACTTTGGGGAGACTGTATTACTGGAATGATGAACAAAAGTTATTCAAGACTCTAGTCCTCATGAACATTTGTCTGGACTGACATAAGCCTTCCACTCTTATGTGGAAACAGAAGCAAAAGGCTTTCTTCTTTTTACCATTGACAAACATTTGCTGTTATGACAAAAAAATTACAATTCCTCCGCTGAAAAGAAGGCATGGGAGATTATCATGGAAGAATAAATAAATCATCAGCTCCCACCACTGAAAGAGACTGCAAAGTAAAAGGCTGCTGCTGTGAAAAGCAAAGTCATAACATTTCATCAGCTGCTTCATATAGGCACAAATGTGTCAAAAGACCATCATTAATACCTTGTCCGTGTCCTGCAGGTCACTGAACAATATCAATTTGATCTGAATCAGGCAGCAGCGTACAATCCCATCTATGTTGAACTAAGTCTGAGCACAAGACTGGAAGCTTATGCTGACTTCAAGCCCACTACAAAAGTACAGACCACATCTGATCTAGCATAAAGTTAAACAGGTGCAACGTGGACCTGGCCTGTCAGCAATCTGCTGCTGAAAGGAAAACTGTCAGAACATGTGTTCAAAAGCTCAGGATAAATGTCAGAATAACTATGTCCAGCACCAGCATATGGTATCACATACCCAGAGTGCCAGAGGAGTGCTCAGTCCAGGTTTCCTGTATCATTGTCCTGAAGCCTGGAAATGTCAGGATAGTGAAAGGACAACTAGAAATTCCTCAGTGCCTTGAATCCACATCAGCTGAGATAAACAGGAAACTCTCAGGAGGGTACCAGTGAGTTTAAATGACACTGCAGATTCTAAGAAAAATATGCAACCAAATACCTTAAATAAGTAAAAGAAGTAGTTTCTTTTCTTTTTTACTAGGATACAGATCAGGAGACAGTCCAATAAATCCAACAACAACTAAGGAGGAGGAATTAGTCCTATAGTAGCTCCTTGTAAGAATTACAGCTGACCAGAGCAGGTGCTTTAGTCTAAATAAACATAACACATAAATCAAAACTTCTCCTTATCAACATATAACAGTAACAGTAAACAAGTAGAAACAGTAAAAAAATTTATGGAAATATTTTAATCCATTCACTTCCTCATTCATTAGGCTGCCTATTTTCCCTGTTTATTCTCTTAGCTGGTTAACAGCCAAGCTTCACCCAACATTGAAATGCAACATTATTTTACTGCAATCTTCTGAAGAACATTCAAAGAAAGCAGAAAAATACAAATACTTTAGATACACAGAATTTTAGATGAGACTTTCTCAATTTATGTAATTCTCTTACTTTTTGGAGGAAGAGTCCAATATTAAATCAGTTTCACTTAAAAAACATTTTCTTTTATCAGATATTGAAGGAAATCAACCAATTTCTTTGCCTATTTCCTTATGTTAAGAGCAATCATTTATTCATTCTTCCAAGTATCTCAGGTTAAAAAATTGAACAACTTCACCAAACCTTTGAAATTGTAAGCTATTCTTTCCATATATAAATCATGGTCAACAAAAACATATAAAAGCAAAACCAGTTTTAATTGTCAGGTGTTCTGGAACACACTACATACATACCAAATACATCACACTGGATCAAATTCAAACATCTCTTTGATTAATAAATTCTATAGCTACTGAACTAATTACTATGAAACAAAGCTACCAAAGTGATCTGAAAACCTGTCTGTTGCTACTGTTAGAGTAACAGCTAGAAATAAAAGAATTACAACAAGAGAGCAAAAGTTAATTTCCCTAGGGGATTTTCTGTGTACACATAAGAGCTTTGGAAGTGGTTGGTTTTAATGCTTCCCTTGTATTGGGTTCCACTCTTGTTTCTGTGGACTCTCTGTTCACCAAAATGGGGAGAACAGGGCACAAGCAAAAAAACACATTGAAAGACCATAAATACAGAAGAGGACAGAGACCATAGGAATAAAGAAGATTGTGTGAATGCATTCTTCACATAGATTAAACTCACAACGGCTGTTTGAAAACACATTTGGCCTTTTTTCACAACACATTTAATCCTCTGTATGTTGCAGCCCCCAGTTACTACATACATCTTTACTGTCTGTCACCATATCTGAAGGGTCACTGACACCCCTGTTTGGAGGGTGTGGGGGCTTCACAGCGGCTGGTAACTCAAAAAATGCAAATGTTTGCATAGAAGACATGCTTCCCAATGGTAATATCTTAGTCTCTCTCACCTTGAGCCTGCCAAAGTTTTCAGGCTTCCCCTGCAGCAATGTCAGTTATACTGCTAATGACTGCTAGAGAGCCAGCACTTGTCCCTTTGCCCTTAAACTAAACAGCCACTTTTCTATCGTTTCCTCGGCACCTAAGAGACTCTATTGCACAACAACTATGTAGACAGAGACAGTAGCCGCAGGGTAGTGGATATCAAACCCCTTCAAACCTTCTTTAAGTGTGATAAACTGAAGCTTCAAAGGGGAGCAAATATATTTTAAAAAGGCGAGCTAGGGGGAACATTGTCATTTGCCTCTATGACCATATGATCAAATAAAATCTTTGCTGATTTGGAAAACTGGGCTTCTTCAAACTGGCATCATACTCTGAGTCCAGATCTTTTTGGAAGACCTTGAAGTTTCTACGTGAACTAGACAAAAGCTCAGTCACAAGTTTATGAGGTATGAACTTTTTTTTATAGCATACAAGCTGGAGTTTTTCAGAGTACAAGTAAATTATTAAACTACGTCTCAAAAAGTTGCTGAATTATCATTTGTGTTGCAAGTCTTACAAAATATTGTAGTTTCTCAACTACAATACACCACACAGCCACTACACACTAGTGAAACAGTGATTTTTGGCATTTATTATCTTTGAAAACAAAACAAAAGCAATCAAGGATTTGTAGTTAGAGAGAAAATCCTGAAATTAAGATCCTAAAAGCTCACTGTTTTAACATTATGGATATGATCATAGCTTATGATTTTCTTAACACAGTCTTAACAATGACATTTAGTAAAAAATTTTCTTCAAATCCTCTGACAGTGTCCACTCTGAACACTGAGTTAGACACACCATTAATCTGACTAGTACTGGATATACCCACGTTCTTCACTGTTTACAGAGACCTAATCTTTACAATCAATAATCTCAAGAAAATACACTGAAGAGAATTGTAAGATGGCATGGTATTTAAAGACAGTACTGTGTATGCACTTTTAAAGGTTCTTCATGCTTTGAATCTTGTAAAGGCAATTTTTTCACTATCAGAGTGCAGCGGGTAAATTAACTTGCACTAATTTCCAGTGTTATTTGCAATCTTTGTATGAAGTAATCAAGCATGTACTTTCTGCAACTCTACTGAGAGACAAAAGAGACTGACAACGCACAATGAAAAACAATGTCTCCCTTCAACTGGAACCAAGGTAAAAAATTATCCAGAACCAACCAGTGAAAACAATACCTCACAGGTGATTAACTTAGCTGGTTTGGAGCAGACAGCAATGAGATCACCTACTTCTATGGAACACTTTAACCACTAAATTTAAACAAATGAAAACACTGGTCTTGTAATGACTAAACTAAGAATATATTATGAAACAGTCAGCTTCAGGAAACTTCCAGGAAAGAACAGACACAGTAAAACAAAGATTTTTCAATTGGATCTACAGACATCTGTAATATTTCATACTAATTTTGAATCCATTTTATCTAAATCAGGAAGACCTATCACTTACTAAAAAGTTATTTAGAAAGCGACTTTGTTTTTTTATTTTGCATAAAACAAAAAATGTTATCAGTTAACTAGGGCACACACAAGTTAATGTTTAACTGAACTAAAATATAAATGTTTTAGCTGCAATGGGTAACTCCCTATTTGTTATCAGTAACATTAGATGACTTCTGCATTTGTCCTTATTAGGCTAATATGGTATGTGCTTTTCTATTGCAGAAAACTTACAGCTTTACGTCTTTGCTTTGTGCTACTTTTCCATATTATTAGTAATCAGTTTCTATTTACAAAATTTAGTCTGACCATTTAGTTTGTATTTCTGAACTATTAATACATTGTGCAAGCCTCATAATCAAATAACTGGTACAAATCAAGAGAAACTCCACTGAAAGTGCAATATATATTCATATATAATGGTGAATACTATCAGGGGAAAAAACACAACAAGTTTCCTGTTTTAAGTTTCAGAATTGGCCAGCTTCTTAGAATACCACTACAATACAGACAAAGAGAAAATTATTATTATAATCAAAATGGACATTTACAGGTGTTTGAATGAACAGAAGATAATTGTACTGGAATTAGAGATAATAAGTGATCATACCTTCCAGCTGCAGTTCCATTGGGCAATTACTGCCTGAATCTGACTTAAATAAACACAGAACATATACCAGTATGCACGTGAGAGCACAGACTACAATTTCACTTACTTGGGAAGCAAATAAAGAAATAATATTTTTAAAACTTGCTCATATATTGTGAATTATAGGACTCAAATTAAATCAACAGGGAAACACTTAGCCCAGCATTATAACAGCATTGCAGTCATCTGCAAAATAAATTAATTTATTCAAGCAATTTTATTAGCATACTTTTTTGTTGATACCATCTGATTGCAATGCTGCCAACTATGGAGGGGCAACAAGAAAACATTCTAGAAAAATTAATTCTCTGTACTAGGTAACACTTCATCTGCCACAACAACTTCTAGCACTGTTCAACCTTCACTGCACATCTGTGCTTTTCTTCATGTTAGAAACACATCCTTGGAATATTTTCCATTAATTCCTGACTTTCTTTTCCCTCAATTTTAATTAAAACATGCTCAGATAGCTTCTGTTATCTGAATGCTCTTAGTGTTTTTGAAAATATCACATAGGAGCTTTGCTGTCTGTAACTGTGGGCACATGTAGATCCATTACTCTAAAGACCTTATCATTCCATGTATCAAGGTAAATCAGCACAGAAATGTACCCTCTGTTCAGACATAATTTCTGATTTCTTGCTGTGTCCACTGGACTGTTATCTACCTTCCTTGTTGCACATCTTATATGTGTTTCACCTGTCAGCCTGCCTGCATGGCAATGATGGGAAGAAGATCCTTTCCTTCCTCCAGGCCCCAGGCCAAGGGAAGCCTTCTGCCTCCTTTAGTTACTTATAAAAGGGGATGCAGCAGAGCACCAAGGGTAAGGGGACAGATTCTCAGTAGATGAAGGCTGCCTTAACTCCAGTGCTCTATGACAACATGCTCCAAGCAAAACCTGCCACCTTCTGTGCACGAGTTCTGAGCAGAGGAGAAGAGCGAGAGGATTGCTTTCTACCTCCAGCATGGGCCAGGCCTCAGTCTTTGCCACCTAATACATCAGTGCCAGACTGTGCTGCACATCATGTTCCAGTAATAGCATGAGTTCAGCAAAAAAAAAGCATGCAATAAAAGTGTTGTTTAATGTTAAACTCTAATACCACGTGAGGCTCCCTTTCTAAATCTCTACAGACAATCCAAGGCATTTGATTGCTCTTTCTCAGAATAACATCTTTCCCCCTCTAAGAGACCAAAACGTACAAGAATCAGGAAAAGAAGAAAAAGAAAAAAAGAAAAAGAAAAAGAAAAAGAAAGAGAAAAAGAAAAAGAAAAAGAAAAAGAAAGAGAAAAAGAAAAAGAAAAAGAAAAAGAAAGAGAAAAAGAAAAAGAAAAAGA